GTTGGGTGTTGATGAGGTAGGGTGTGCAGGAAGGCTGAAGCCTGTGAATGACTGCTTCTTGTGCACCAGCTTGACCTCTACCGAGGCGACTCAGCCGCCCCCCTGTGCCTCTCCTCTTCTGGGATACCGACGTCCTCTCAAACACACACGACATCACAGCCCCTGCCTCCACCCAAGACCCTCCGAGACCCACCATCTTCAGGGTGTCGGTGCGGTCCTCGCACGCCTGCCGCTCCCAGCGCTCGAAGATGAGGTCCTTGAGCACGCGCTGGGCCTGCTCCGCGGTCACCTCTGCCCTGCTCCGGCTGGCCTTGAGCAGGCCCAGCAGCTGCAGGTAGCCCAGGTTGGACTCCAGCAGGATGATGGCCTTATTAAGGGTGACGTTCCCCACCGCACCGTTCTCCAGGAACTGGCGGAAGAAGCCGCGCATGCCGCAGTCCAGCTTGTCGTACTCCTCCACCACGATCAGGGCCTCGGGTGTGCGCCGCACGTGGTCTATGAGGGCGGAGCGCAACAGGCCCTGCTGCTCGGCCCGCTCGGAGGCCACGTAGTCCATGCCGTACATGACCTGTGCACGAGGGGAGGGGGAATGATGGGTGATGGGGATATAGGATGAGCAGCGGCAGGAGAAGAGGATGGTAGCCAGGTCAGCCAGGCCCGGCCAGCCCCGCACGCACTGCCTGTGGCACTGGCAAGGTCTGGAATCGACCTGCATCAGGTAAACTTGACCTACAGGACGCAGTTTCGGCGCTTCAGCACCTAGATCCATATCCCCCAACTCCCCTGGTCTCCCATTCCGAGCACCTTGTAACCAGCGCAGTCGTGGCCGGGGCATTTCATGGCTTCGCTGGGGTTCTTGCTGTACAGTGCCTGGGCTGCCAAGAGGTGGAACAGCGACTTCCCGACGCCCGGCGGCCCATGAGCAGAGAGGATCAGGGGACGGGCAGGGTTTGGGTCGTCCAGATGGTCGCAGATGGCGTCGGTGGCCAGCCTGAGTGCCAGGTCCTGGCCCACCAGGAAACTGCCGGCATGAGCCTCCAGGCGAGAGCATGCGCCGGGGGCAAACTGCGTATTTCCTGGAACGTTTTGGGTCGGAATCGTGGAGCATCAGGTCATAGGAGCAGCCCAGAGCACACACACAAGCCTCCAAACTGCCAGTGGTACCTGCCAGGTATGTGACCACAGCGCTCACGGCAGCCACAGCCACTGCCCAGCCGGCGATCGGCAGTGGCATCGGATGGATGCACGCTCGATCAGTTCTGCCACCTTGCGATGTCAGTGTCCGTGTATCGTTTGGCATACACGCACGGAGCGATACGCCATGCGGAAACGGAGGTCTGCCACGTCGTCACTAAGATCACTTCTGTACCGAGGATGTAGAGCAGGGACCGCTTCGGCAGGGCCGCACACTATACGAATCAATTGTAGGAATGCTACGACAGAAGTCGGCGACCTGCCTGGCCATTACGCTCTGCATCGTCGCCCTGCTACTGTCCGGCGCCCACAGCTCGGACGAAAGCCCCGAGCCGGTACGAAGATCCTACAACCCTCGTGGCTGGCAACCCACAAGCCCTGCGCTTGTATTGGAACCCATCCGACTGCCAAAGCCAGCTGCCGAGCCCGAGGGGTCGTCCTCTCAGGCCTCAAGTGGCCTCCAGGAATGCCTAGCGCTGCTAAAGGTTAAGAGCGCGGAGCTCGAAGCCTGTGACAGACCTGCGGCAAGAGTTTCGAACCCACCAGCCAGCGCTTTGTATGCGTTGGGATGGCTGGCCTTCCCTGCGGGACTGATCTGTGGAGTATTCTTGGGCGCAGCTGCTGCTCAGCTCCCTGGCACGGCAGACATGTTTGGGGCCCTTGCAGCGGCTGACCTGCTTCCGGCGGGTGGTAGAGAGGCCCTCTCAACCCATCAGATCGAGACTGGACCCTGCAGCGGGACTCAAGCACCTGCTGCAGAGGCGCAAGTGCTCGAGGAGCTCACCGGCACCCCTCCGCCTGCACCTCCGTTGCTCGCTGAGGCTGCAATTCACAAGGCTGCACCATTGGACACCCCAGAGCCTGTACAAGAAGACAGTCAGGCCCATGCCGGATCTACAGGAGCCCCTGGGACATCAGCGGGCCTGCATCCCTTGCCTGGCGGCGACCCCAGCACGGACGATGCCTCCTCCTCCGCGACGGGCCTGGGCAGCTCTGCCCTGCTCTCACCCCTGCATGAAGGCAGGGATGCCGGCTGGGCCCTGACCGCCACCGAGACGTCGGAACTCCACGCAGCGGCATCAGTCGTGAAGACCATGACGCAGGCGATGGGCCTGAAGGTCGCTGAGCTGGCGCCCGCCGAGCAGGTGCAGCTCATGCACAGCGTGCTCACCACCTGGCAGGTCCGCCTGGCCCGCACGCATGGCCAGGCCATGGTCAGGTGTGTGATTTGGGGTTGGGGAGAGGGAGGGAGGGACGCTGGTCGGGCATGATAGGCTGACACACCGCAGGGTCACATAGGCTGTGTGGGCACTGTCTGGGTCAACTGAAGCGCTGGTGCTTCGAGGTGATGCTGCCGCTCCTAAAACATGCACATGCCACGAGCTGGCACACGCCACCCTCGCCCCGCTCTGTCTGTAATAGCTTGCATCACACACAATGCATCCCCCCTTCCTCTGCTCTGCCCCCCAGGCAAGGAGAGGAGGCCAATGAGCTGCGCACCGGGTCGCTAGGCGTGGCGAGGGCGGAGGCGCGGCGCCGCGCCCTGGTCGCCGTGGACCGCCAGCTGGAGGCGGGCCTGGCCGCGTACCGCGCCGCGGCGGCCGACACCCTGGTCTTCGGCCTGGTGGTGGCGGCGGCGCTGGCGCTGCGCTGGGGCGCGCAGCGCGGGGCCTTCGCACCGCTGTCGGTGCGCTGCGGCGCGCTGCGCTGGCGCGGCTGGGCGCCGTGGGCGCTGCTGCTGACCGCACGGCGCGCCGCGTGCCTGCTGACCCAGGCCGCCAACGTCTGCGCGGGGCTGGCCACGCTGTGCGCGCTGCCCTGGGTCATGCACCGGCTGGGCCTACTGGACGCGGGCCGTGCGCCCCTCACCCGCCTCGTGCTGGGCCTGGGCCTGGGCTGCGGCGCGGCAGGGCGCGACGCCGTGCGGCGGCTGGGCGGGGGCACCGCGGCCTGGACCCTGGTCTGGGGGACCTGGGTCGGCGTGCACGCGGGCATGCAGGCGCTGGGCCGGCTGCAGGCGGGGAGGGTCAGGGAGCGCGCACGCGCGGCGCTGGAGAGGGACCTGGAGGTCGCGCCGCCGGGCAGCGGCCTGGGCGGGCTCACCGCCGCGCTGTGCCTGCTGCAAGGGGTCCTCCTGCCGGCCACCATCAGCTGGTTCACATTTTACTCCCTGGAAACCGGCCTGGAGTGGGGCTGGTGGTGAAGGAATTTCCGGGCAGTGGGTGTCCCTGCTCTTGCGACCCCCCCCCTCTCCCAATTCACCTGATTTGATGCAATGGCGATGCTGTCCAAGTGACAGCGCCCTCCCATGCTGTGCATCACTTTCTGCACTATTCTAAACTGTTACATTCGTCTTGTGTAAACTTCACCGACTAGTTGTCTGATGCCATTCCACTGAGCCAATCATGCTCGGTGAAGGTGCGCAGGCTTGGTGTGGCATGTGATAGGCATCTGTCCGGCAGCTGACACTCACTTCACGCACACCACACCTCCGTGGACTACATCCGAGGAAATCAGAGGGTTAGCATACAAGCTACCCGCCCCCCCCGGCACGACTCAATTGACATACAATCCCTCTTCCAAACTTACGTAACATGGTGAGTGGTTGGGCTGGGGCGGACATTGTCTCAGCCACGGGTCTGGCGAGCAGGGCAGGGGACTCTGGTCTGCAGCAACGTATGGTCAGCTCTGAACCGCGGAGCATTGCCTGTGGCATTCAATGATTCTGCACAAACACATCGCAAGGCTTCCTTCCTATCAAACTCTTCTGTGACCTCCGTCCCAAGTTGCCGGAACTCCCCGGTCTCATTTGCTCTCAGCTTCCTTTCTGCATCCTGTCCACAGAACGCGATGATGAGCACCATTGCCACGCCGAGGGTCATGTTGGCCCGGCCAACCACCTCGCACACCCGTGCGCCCCGTCGGGCCGTCATCCGCGCCGCGGGCGGCAAGGACAAGACCGAGGCCATCACCGGCGTCGTGTTCCAGCCCTTTGAGGAGGTGTGTGGTTGTCACAGGGTTTTGTCTGTAGTGTAACCCGGTGGAGCCGTGAGGACCTCGGCCTTCCTCACCTCTAAAGCATGACTTCGATCCTTGTCTTCCACAGGTCGCCCCTGTGCTGAAGGACACCAGCAAGTCTGGAGCCCTTAATGACCCCCGCCCCGAGCACAGCTTTGCTCGCTACTCCACCTGGACCGAGACCGTGGAGGCCGCGGTCAACGAGCAGATCAACGTGGAGTACAACATCAGTGAGCTAGGGTTTGTGTGTGTGTGAATGTACGAATTGATCTGGGCACAGCAAAGACTGGCCCATGCCTGCCTGTATGCAACATCCATGGCGACAGCAACTGTCACCATCATCCCTACCCCATCAACCCCACTCCTCCACCCCAGGCTACGTGTACCACGCCATCAGCACCTACTTTGACCGCGACAACGTGTCCCTGCACGGCATCGCCGAGTACTTCCGCAACGAGTCAGAGGAGGAGAAGTCCCACGCCCAGTACCTGATTGACCTGCAGAACACGCGGGGCGGTCGCGTGAAGTTCAACGCCCTGGTCCCGCCCGAGGCCAACTATGACCACCCGGAGAAGGGTGACGCGCTGTACGCCTTTGAGCTGGCGCTGGCCCTGGAGAAGCTCAACTACTCCAAGCTGCTGGGGCTGTGGGAGGTGGCGGACAAGAACTCCGACGCGCAGACCACCCAGTTCATTGAGGACATGCTGCACGAGCAGGTGAAGGACATCAAGCAGGTGTCCGACTATGTCGCGCAGCTGCGGCGCATCGGCAAGGGCCACGCCGTCTGGCACTGGGACCGCGCCCTGGCTGAGGGCAAGGTGGATCACCGCGCCGTCGAGTCCCCCAAGGCCTGAAGCCTGGGTCCTGGAGGGCGGGCCGCCCTGTGATCTGCGGCAGCAGCCCGAGGCTTCAGGGGTTGAGCATGTGGCTGGACACCTGGAACTACAGCTGCCTTACCACCGCTCCCGCTCCTTTACCACCTCATTCTGGCTGCAGCCGTGGATACCCAGAAGATCGTTGTTTCTCTTGCAAGACATGGTAGAAGCATGCATACGTGCTCCCATGGCTTGGTGTCATCCACAACTGTGCTTGCCACCTGACGAATCTAAGCAACTGTCCCCCCATTGAAGAATGTGTTTGCGACCGAGCATCAGCTCGGCACCCGCAGACACCCCCTGCGTGCGTTGTAGTAGAATTTTGTACAGTCACACCATTCATCTGGACTGAATTTGGTTGAAGTTTGATCGTGTTGGGCGTACGGACAAGGGAATATCCCAGCAGAAGAGTGCCACTCGCGCTTTCCTCCCGGGCACCACACGAAATCCGATGCGAAGCCTGTGCACGCTCACTGTCCCGTCTCCTGGTGTAGGCCCTCTCCTCCCTTTCCCTTCACGCAATAACTCGTGGCGGGCGACGAGCTCTGTCTTCACATGGCGTGATTCGGTGAACGTAGCCATGACCCTCCTTCGCGTAGCTCGGCAGGCGGAGGTTGGGGAGGGGCAGAAGGTCATCAAGGTGAGTTTCCTGGAGGCTACACTCGCTGCCTTGTCGTTACTCGAAAGCGTCCACCGCCAGCATGGTATCGGAACCTCAATTCAAAGGCGTGTCCCTGTGCGGGGGAGTGGGCTCTGGAAGCTCAACGCACAACCCCGTACCCCAATTTCTCCAGGAGGCTCACGGCCGGAAGTTCCTCCTGGTCCGAGTCCACGGCACGGTCTACTGCACAGATGCTCACTGCTTCCACATGGTGTGTGCTCGAGGCATGGAGTGGCGACCGATCCTCCGCACGTACCACATCAGTTGCCTCCTATAAACAGCCCATTGTCCCTCCCTGTAGGGCACATCTCTGGCCGGCGGGGACATAGAAGACAGCGGCAGCCACGCCTGCATCGTATGCCCAGCCCATAGATACAGGGTGAGCTCCTCAAAAGCTGACTAACACTGCTGCATCACGTTCCGTCACCTATTTCTGTCCTGTTAGGCATGCTGTCCCAGCACAAGTGAGTGCCAGCAGACTGCAGATCCTCCTTCTTGCACCATACCTCATACTTGGCTGGTAATGTCAACGGAACGCACCATGCTGCTCACACCTTGCAGATCGAGCTGTGCAGCGGCAAAAAGATCGATCGGAAGTTGGACGGCGCCGTCTGTGCGAGTGCTGACCAAAAACAGAGGATATACGAAGTCCACCCAGACCCCGAATTCATCTGGCAAGCTGGGCAATGGAGCGCAGTGCATCCTGTCACCACAGCTTCCTTGTACCGCTGAGTTGGTGTGCCTGCGAGGTGTGTGTGTGTACGATCCCTGATACCCCCAGCTACAATGCCACCCACCACCTCTGCACCACCAGGGGGACCCTGCCGGACTCCCCCCCCCCCCCCCCCCCGGAGCC